AGCTAGTAAGTCTATCAGAAATCGCAAATAGCTTCATTAATACTCTAATAAATAAATAAAAAATCTTGCGAAGACTTACTGTTCATTCTCACATTGCAAACATTCATATATTGTTGATTTTTTATAGAAATTAAAAAATGAGTTAGGGTTTAAAATTATAAAACTTTAAATGCAAATAAATCTGATTTAAAAAAGATTATCCTTGTAGGTTTTTTGTTTTATAGCATTTGTTAAAAATATAGAACATAAGGAAAAAATTTTTATAATCATATCTTTCAGGCATTTCAAAATAAATATTTGTATGGGATATCAATAACTTACAAAAAGTATAGTATTTTAAAATTAAATTTTCATATAGAAGCTTAAATTTTTTAGTGTTTTTAGCCATCATTTTTTAGTTACTCTTTCTAATAGAAGTTTTTTTATTTGAACAGTACTTGAGATTCTAAAATCTTTTTAAAAAAATGTAACAGAAAAAATTGTATACAATTTTTTTTTCATTATTAAATAACAATCTTTCTTAATTTTATAAAACTTTCAATGCAAATAAATCAGATTCAAAAAAGAAAACCCCTGCAGTTTTTTGCAATGAGTTTGCTATATATTTTATTTTAGAGATTGGGACTGCTTATGGATATCTTTAAAACCATTAAAAGTCAGACATTTAAATTTAGAGGGAAGTTTTTGTTAATATAAGCTTGTATTCCGAAAATCATTAAAATCTGAGATGACAAGGTGCCAAAATATTTTTTCTGTGAATTGATTTGACACAAAATAATCCAATTGTCAACACTCTTGAAGACACAGTTGGAATTGTAGATTCTCTTAATAAGGATAATAGTTTATAGCATAATTTGTTTGTGAGATACATGATCTCATGGCCACCTGTTACTAATGAACTTAGAGTATGGGACAAATTACTTTTAATGCACTTCAATAAATCAATGGAAATAGTTGTGGAGTTAACACATTTTTGTTTGCAGAAGCTGTTACCAACAATGTAAACATTAATATTGTAGATTTTCAACTGTAACATTGTACCGTCAATACATTTATACTAGACTTGTACATCGCTTGGATGCGAACTTTGATAATGAAGATATGTGATATCATGTTGTTGAACCCTGTGGTGTTTGTTTAAATAGGTCACATTGAATCAGTGCAATTATTGGTGTCAAAATGCCTTTGCAATGTCAATCTTCTCACACTTCACTTTTTATGTAGCCATGCTTTTTAATATAAATGTATGTTTTATATGTATGTTTTAATATAAATGTATGTTTTAATATAAATGTATGTTTTAATATAAATGTATGTTTTAATATAAATGTATGTTTTAATATAAATGTTTTAATATAAATGTAAATATAAATGTCTATAGAACAAATAAATGGTTGTTTTACAACACACAACTTTAATGGAGATAGTAGAAGTATTTTCTGCTTTCTTAGGGACACATTACAAAATATAAACCAGTACAACAATGTCAGTGTCTTTTAAAAAGTTAAAACAATTACATTATCACTGAAGCTACAAGCCAGTAATTTAATTTTTAAGGAACCTGTGGTAAAAAATATATGAACAAATCTGTTTTTTCACAGCTTTTTAAGCTCCAATGCCATCTTACCACCTTCATTACTCCTTTTGGGCGCTACAGATACATCCGAGCTCCTCAAGGTTTTGTATCTAGTGGGGATGGCTACAACAGACGTTTCAACGAAATTTTAGCAGACTTTATTGGCAAACAAAGATGTGTAGATGACACCATCCACTACGATGACGACCTAGTCAAACATTGGTGGCGGACAATCGAATTTCTTGAGCTTGTTAGCAAAGCTGGGATCATTTTGAACCCACAAAAATTCCAATTTGCTAAAAGAATAGTGGATTTTGCAGGTTTCAGAATATCTGAAAATGGAGTTGAACCACTACCTAAATATATCGATGCCATTAGATCATTTCCAACACCATCCTCAATAACAGACATCCGATCTTGGTTCGGCTTAGTGACCCAAGTATCACATTACGCTCAACTTCGAGAAACTATGGCCCCATTCAGAGTTCTGCTTAGCCCTAAATCAAAATTTTATTGGTCGGACGAACTCAACACTTTATTCAACGTGTCAAAGGAAAAAATTATCAACGCAATTAAAGATGGAGTCCAAATGTTTGACATTACCAAGAAGACCTGTTTAAGATGCGACTGGTCAAAATTGGGGATAGGATATTACCTAAGCCAAAAACATTGTGAATGTAAATCAGACTCCCCAGATTGCTGTATAGACGGATGGAAAATAACCCTAGCAGGGTCCAGATTCCTGTCATCTGCTGAACAACGATATGCACCAGTTGAGGGCGAAATGCTAGCAGCGGCATGGAGCCTGGAGCAGACTAAATATTTCACACAAGGTTGTGATAACCTTATGGTAGTAACTGATCATAAACCACTTGTCAAATTATTAGGAGATAGGACCTTAGATGAAATAGCTAACACACGACTTTTCCGACTAAAACAGAGAACTTTGCCATGGAAATTTACCATCCAACATCAACCAGGAAAAACAAACCTGGCAGCAGATGCTACTTCTCGTTACCCTGCAGAGAACGCAAAGGAATCTGATAATTCAGCCACATGCAATCAAAATGCTGATTTTGACAACACAGAATCCCTAATAATAGCCTCGATACGAAACGACATAGATAAAATGATCGCAGTAACATGGGATAGTGTCAAAGCAGAGACAGAAAAGGATACCGATTTTAAAGCATTAATGTTAGCAATAGAAAACGGTTTCCCAAAAAATAAGAACAACTTCATACCAAATCTTTTACCGTTCTGGGAATACCGCAATGACCTGATGGTGTCCGACGGGGTTATAATATACAATGACAGAATTGTAATCCCACCTACTCTACGGAAAGAGATATTGGACATACTACACTCAGCCCACCAAGGAGTATTGGGAATGACGGCCAGAGCTCAAGCCACTGTCTTCTGGCCAGGTATCACTCACAGCATACAAAGTAAGCGCGATAACTGTTGCAGCTGTAATCAAAATGCACCTTCTAATGCACGACTACCACACATTCGACCTCACATCCCTGTGACACCATTTGAATGCATATTTGCTGACTATTTTGAATTTCGTGGCTGGGATTATCTGGTCATTGGAGATAGACTTTCTGGATGGACCGAAGCCTACAGAATAAAATCAGGAACATCAGAAATGAGTGCAAAAGGTCTTATCACGTGCTTACGTAAATTATTTACAACATTTGGAGTCCCAGAAGAAATTTCAACCGACGGTGGCCCTCAATTCACCTCTGGAGAAACAAAAGAGTTTCTACAACAATGGGGCATAACTCATCGCATTTCATCAGCCCACCACCCACAATCTAATGGAAGAGCTGAGCTTGCAGTTAAGTCAACAAAACGCCTCCTCGAAAATAATGTGGGACCAAATGGTGATCTCAATAATAACGCTTTTGTAAGGGCAATGCTTACAATAAGAAACACACCAGACCCTACTTGTCAGTTATCCCCTGCTCAAGTATTATTTGGCCATCCCATTCGCGACGTCATGCCCAGGATAAAATCCAGAATACCTATGTTTAATAACGACCAATTCTTGAAAACGTGGAGACATGCATGGTCTGCAAAAGAAGAAGCATTACGAACAAGATATGCAAAGACCTGTATCACTTCAAGAACACACACGTTTTCTCACACCACTACATGAAGGAGACAGTGTCTTCATACAAAATCAAGTAGGAAACCACCCTAAAAAATGGGATCGTAGTGGAAAAGTTGTTGAATGTAAGGAAAATGACCAATACATCATTAAGGTTGAAGGAACAGGTCGACTAACATTAAGAAATAGAAAATATTTGCACAAATTCCTCAACCCAATAAAGTCATACGAAACCGAAGTTGCATTGACCACACTACCAAGAACAAGCTCTAGTCACTATAACTCTGCCGATTTGCCAACACCATCTACAGAGTATGTCCCAGAAAGTAGCAACAAAGTCATACCATCCCAACCGGAACTAGCACCATCTACAGTATTGCTACCGCCTTCTACATTAGCACCAGCAGTACCACCACTACCTCTACTAACAACTCCAGTACCCTTACCGTTGATGCCAGCATCTTTATCAACAAGCTCGCCGCATCTAGCGATGCCACGTTTATTAGATACTGAAATCGTAGGAGATCAACCATTGAAACGTTCATCCAGGCTACGTATCCCCAAAAAATTCTAACAACCAGAAACCGGGAAATCTTTGACATTAAATGACTTTAAGAAATGAACCCAGAAATTATGTTTATATTCATGGACACTTAAAAACATGGAAGGGGATGTAGAAATAGTGACATTATTCATTTCTTGTTTTTATATTGTTTTTGTATTGTTTTATATTGTTGTTGTTTAAACTTATTGTTATTTCATTTAGAAACTAACATTGTTTAAGATATAATTATAATTGAGAACAACGACTAACTTTTGTTTATTTATCACCTGCATTAGCATCCAGTTGCACATGAGCTTTGGTACACCCAAATCTCATAAAACACATATTGCATTTTGAATGCTACTCTTACATAAATTCATAATTTCAGTACATGATATTGTGAGTATGTAAGTTACAGTCAAACAATGCATGCATAATGAAATCAAAAATCATTTTAGTTCTCTCAAAAATCAATTTAGTTCTCTATTTTAGAAAACGTATTTAAAACGTTGCTAAATAACATTTTATTGCAGAAATTGTTAAATTTATGAAAAAGAAATTAATAAGTTTATATGAAATTAAGCCTCCGATTCTCTCCTGTCACTATTATATAATAATTCAGTAAAAATTAATAAATTATTGTAATGTTTAATTACATAAATTAAGACTTGCAAAACTCTTTTTAACAGCGTAGTTATTACAAAACAAAAAACAAGAAACAATTTACTTTAAATTACACGGAGAATCAAAACTTTAAAACTAACCTGATTAACCATTCCTTGAAAAATGAAAGATCTTTCGAATAGAGAATATCAGGTTTTGCCTTAATGGCAGAGATGAATTGCTTTAGAAGATCAAGTTGAGACTTGTCAAACATTTTTATGTGCTCACATGCGTTCTCGCTTATTATTGAATGCAAACTTACAAGGTAAAACAAAGATAAAATTTATTGCTCGCGATTTTTCTGGAAAGACAGATAATAGATTTACAGACTTAAAAGTTTTATTAAATAAAAAAAGTTATTTTTTAATATATATTATTTCAATAATATTTTTTATAAATTATAAAAAATTCTTATACAAATATGTTTGCTTTTTATTTTTTCACTTAAAAATATTTTAATTGACAATCGTGAATTTGGGTTTATTAAAGCATTTATTTTGAAAAGAAAAAACTTTAAGAGAGTAAATGACAACCCGATATTGTTTATCGATACTGCGTCTGGCTGTCTAAGTAATTTTTTTTTGTGGTACATCCGTACATAGCAGTATACAAAATGTATATCGCTAATGGCTGTATATGCTATAAGTAACAAATCCTATGAAGATTTTTACTTTTTTTATTTTATGCGATTTTGCACAACTTTAATTGTTTAATCAATTAACATCTTTTCATTTATTCTTATCTTAAGAGTTAAACCAACATTTTATTTATTCTAATTTGTAACTTTTTATTTGATTTTTTTAAAAGAGTATAAATTTTTTCACAAGTTATATTTTGCAAAATTTTATTTTTTATGTATTTATTACTCTTTTTATATAGATTTACTATTTTTATATACTTATTACCAGAAAATCTTATTTCTTATATACTGGTTAAAATTACATATGCAGTAAGTAATAATTTTTATTTTACGGAGCCAATTCTCGGGGCTTGGTTATAAGACAAATTGTGTCTTCTTCTTGTTCCGGCCATCTGTATTTATCTGAAATATTGATTGTATGTTTATATACTTATAATGCGAAAAAAAAAATTGTTTATTTTTTATTACCAAAACGATTAGTTTTGATAAATTTTGAAGCAGAAACGTTCATTGTGAAACTATTAGTTTCACAATGAAACTTATAGTTTCAGGTTTTGGTTTAGTGAATATATTATTCCCTAAACCAAAACCTGAGAGTTAATTGAAGCAACTATGTTAACCCTCGATAGAAAAAATGTTTAAGTTCCATTAAACAGAAAAACATGATACCAGCTAATCATGGGCAGACGCACGATTTTTTTGATGCTTACAATGTTTCAGGCATTGTTAAAACTCCAAATTTAAGTATGTTTATGTTTATCTATAATAAAAATGTTTTCCAAAAAATTGCAGTAGTTGATGCATGAAAACAAAAGTTTGCAGCCCTAATCCTAAATGAGAGAGTAATAAATTAAAAAATTTTAATTTGCTATCTTATGCTAAAACTAAATTTACCGGTTTACCGACCGATTTACCGACGTAAATGCTAAAGCGTTACTGCTACTTGGGTAAGACAAATGAGTTTAACCTAAATTGTAGAAAGTTATCAATAAGCTTAAAAGAAACTAAATTAGAAAAATAATGTAAGTTTTTAATTTTCAAAGGTAGAATATATGTAAGGTAGCTATCATGGCCATTCATAAGTGCTATACACACATCTTTTTCATGTTTCCTAATTTCGTACGGAATAAAGACCTAAATTATAAAAAGGAAAAAAAAAAATCTACTTAATTGCAAAAATAAAACAATAAACTAAAGTTTATGCTGAAAAAGTCTTTTATAGCAGACTTATCTTGGTAAACCATTATGTTGCGAAGAATATTGCCTTTATAAACTTTGATAGGTTGCATTAGAAAACCGTTTGCCTTTCCACATAATAACCCGTAAACATAGTTTTATCAAAAAAGTTGTATAAGTTAGCCTTATAAACAATAACTGTGATGTAGCATTTTGAGTTTTGGCTCCAGAACTGAATGTCCGTAGTTCGAAGCCGGCTCTGGCTATATATGCATTATTGGTAATTAAGAAGACTAATTAAGAACATTATTTTTTTCATTCACAGGTAGAAAATCTAGATTATAACATCGGTCACAAACTCTTTTAATAATTAAAAAAATTTTATTTAGTTTTTCAAAAAAAAGATTTGGCGCATTCTCGTTCAAAATTCCGGGGTTCTAGGTTTGACCCCAAGAAGAAGGCGTGAACTTCTAATTAAATGCTCTCCCGCAGTTCTTCGTGATATGACTGTAATGACTAAAAAATAAATAATAACAAAACCAAATGAGCCAAGACCATGGCCAAAGCCATGTGTTACAAGGCCAAGGCTCTCAGCTGACAAATGCGCCTCCACGTAACCTCCTGGATTCAGGCTGGAATGGAAGCTTTTATTCCTTCGCGTCGGTTTCAATTCAAGCCTCATTCTACTCCATGGTTTTCTCCTTCTTGTGCGGCTGCTATATCTAATCGTAATCATTTTTTCATCTTTTTCAAAAGAATAACTCTCTTGAGAACAAACGGCTATTTATTATTGCAAGAAATCGATGTAAAAAGGTGCTTTCTGATGCTAAACTCCATTATTCACATTGTTCACTAAATCTCGCATCTTATCACAGAAGTTAGGCTCTAAAGACTTTTGGAAAATCTTCAACAGCATTATTAACAAGGGTAGATCTAACATTCCATCTCTCATTCATGGGACTGATCTTATTACCTATCCCAAGGATAAGGCAGAACTATTTGCAAAGAACTTTTCTTCTAATTCCACTCTTGAATCTTATGGACATTCTCTTCCTTCCATTCCAGTCAAACAGGTTGACCCATTGTTAGACATTCAAATCACTCCGGCTTCTGTTGCTAAAGTCATATCTCAATTAAACTCGTCTACAGCTTGTGGTCCAGACAACATTCTTGTCACAGTCTTGCAGAATTGTTCTCCAGAACTTTCTTCAATTCTCTCTAAACTATTTAACAAGTGTTTGACTGAGTCTTGTTTTCCGGCTTGTTGGAAAATGGCATCTGTAGTTCAAATGTTCAAAAACTCTGGAGAAAATTCTGACCCCTCCAATTATCGTCCGATCAGTCTTCTTTCTGTTATTAGCAAGGTCTTTGAGTCTTTGATCAACAAATTCCTCACATCTCATCTTGAGTCAAATAAACTACTGTCAGACAATCAATACGGTTTTTCGATCCTCTCGCTCTACGGCCGACTTGCTAACTGCTGTAACTGAAAGTATTTATCGTGCATTAGATGGAGGCGGTGAGGCCAGGGCTATTGCTCTCGACATATCTAAAGCTTTCGACAAAGTTTGGTATGCTGTCTTCTCCATAAGCTTGCTTCATATGGTGTTTCTGGGAAAGTTTTTGAGATTATCAAATCATTTCTTTCTAACCGATGTATTAAAGTCATCCTTGAAGGCTAACACTCTTCTTTATTTCCAGTAACTTCTGGGGTTCCCCAAGGTTCCATCCTGGGCCCGGTTTTGTTTCTTATCTACATAAACGATCTTCCTGACAACCTTTCATCTAAAGTAGCTCTTTTTGCTGATGACTCAAGTTTATACTCCTGTCTTGACAAAAGTCTTCTCTTTTCGATCGCCTAGAACAAGCAGCTGATCTTGAATTCGATCTCACTTCAGTTATAGATTGAGGTTTACAGTGGCTTGTGAATTTCAACTCTAACAAAACCCAGTTGTTTACTGCAAACAACTACCGTAATATGGTCAACATTCCTATATTAATGAATGGCAATCCTCTTACTGAGTCGTCCTCTTTACGTCTTCTTGGATTATCGCTTACTACTGACCTTTCATGGAAACCATATATACAATCGATTGCTAAATTAGATTCTGCTAAGGTTGCTTCTCTTTATCGTGCTCGCCATTTCCTTACTTCTGATTCCATTCTCTACCTCTACAAATCTCATATTCGTCCCTGTATGGACTACTGTTGTCATATTTGGGCTGGTTCTTCTAACGATTCACTTTCTCTTCTTGACAAGGTCCAAAATCGCATTGTAAATGTTGTTGGACCTGGACTATCTGCTAAGCTTGAGCCTCTTTCCCATCGTCGTAAAGCTGCATCTCTTTCTCTTTTCTACAAATACTATCATGGTCACTGCTCAAAGGAGTTATCATCTCTAGTTCCATCAGCTAAAATTCATTCTCGTTTTACTCGTCATTCAACTAAGTCTCATTCGTTTACTGTATCTGTCCCTGCATGCTCTAAAAATTTTATTCATCTAGTTTTTTTCCCCGCACTTCAATCCTTTGGAACTCTCTCCCATCTTCATGTTTTCCTGACTCATACAACCTTCAACTTTTCAAGTCTTCTGTCAACCGTTTCCTTGGTTTATAACTCTGTTCTTTTTTTCTTAGTAACTCCCAACTTAATAGTGGTTGCTTGCAGCCTTGTTGGGAGTGAATGCAAATAAAAGAAAAAAAAGACCACGACCAAATCCTTAAGTTTTAAGTTCAAGAACAAAGCCAAGGACAAGAGTTATATATATAATAATTTCTTTTACGTAAATCATAACTCCTCTAACTTGTTTAAACCTAAAAGATGGAGAGTAGATTAAGAGTGAAAACCTAAAAAATGGAGAGTAGAGTTATCTTGAAGGTCTTTCAAAGCAAATTATATCTAAACTGCCTTCTGTTTCTTATTAAAAAGGTATACAGTTTTTTAAAAAAAAATTTGTAAAAAGAACCTTTTCTAAATATGCGTAGTAAGTTTATTGTAAATAAATAAAATGTTATAATAAAATTTAATCAATTTGTAACTAATTAAAGTTTTGTAAAAGCTAGTTGTTGTTCTTTTGTTTTTATGCCTTAAAAAAAATTGTTTATAACGGGTACCCGGGTACCCGCCCGTTCGTTTACCGGTACCCGGGCAAGGATTTTTGCGATTTTGGCAGCTTACTTTAAAATAAAGAATTAAGACTTTTAATTCTTTAACTTTATATATTTTATTTTAGACATCTTTTAATTAAAGTTATGTTGTTATTAGTTATTACATATTAAACTTTTAAAATTTTGTTTTTAGCTTAAAGAAAAAATCACGTGCTTTAATCTTATTTTAAATTTTGAAATGTCTTAACTATTAAGATATATCATGTCATTTAATATATAGATCTAATAAATTCTCATTAATTAATCGTGTCATTGATTATTGCTTTAAAACGGCTAGTCAAAAAT